CGATCCCAAAATGGCATGACCTTAGCTCTTGCATCGTCCGGAATAGCTGCGACATTATTACCAGGTGGAAGAACTGCTACTTCGACTTTGAAATTGCCATTGAACATGCAATTCATTGAAACTCCCACGTGCAACATTTCCAAAGCATCCGGCATGGGAAAAGTATTGCAGAAATGCAAAATTATTGTTTGGAATGAATGCACAACGGCCCACAAAAAATCATACAATTTGGGAACGCAGTAATATTGCTTGCAGGAGATTTCTGGCAAACATTACCTGTAATTCCTCGATCGACGCCAGCGGACGAAATAAATGCTTGCCTGAAATACTCTACTTTGTGGCGCCACATAAAGACATTTAAATTAACTTCACATATGCGTGTGCAGCTGCAAAACGATCCACCAGCTGAGATATTATCACATCAGTTGCTGGAAATTGGCAACGGAAACATGCTGGTTGATCTGACCTCAGGACGAATTTCATGGCCTCATAACTACAACAATTTAGTGACGTCAAAAGAAAAAATGGGTTGAAAAAGTATTTTACAATATTCAAACCAATTATAAGAATCACGATTAGCTGAATGAACGAACTGTTCTTGCGGCCAAGAACGAAGACGTCTACAAACTTAACAATATTATTCAGTCTTACATTCAAAGCGAGGCAGTCACTTACAAGTCCGTCAACAATGTTGTAGAAGCAGATGAAGCGGTTAATTATCCAACTGAATTTTTGAGTTCACTCGATCTGCCAAGGATACCATCACACGTACGGCAATTGAAAATCGGCGTGCCAATTATCATGTTGCGAGATATCAACCAGTCAAAACTTTGCAACGTCACGCGCCTTGCAGTAAAAAAATTAATCAGCGTCGTTGTAGAAGCAACAATCTTGACAGGACCTTTCAAAGGTGAAGATGTCCTCATTCCTCACATTCTTGTGATTCCAACGGATATACCATTTCAATATAAGAGATTGAAATTTCCAATTCGATTCGCGTTTGCAGTCACCATCAACAAAGCTCAGGGCCAATCTTTAGAATTGTGCAGTTTATATCTAGACACGGATTGCTTCACACATGGACAATTATATGTTGCGTGTTCTAGAGTCGGCAAACCAGACAATCTCTTTATCTCCACAGACAATGCAACAACAAAAAATATTGTATACCCACAAGCATGGTGAAATTAAACATATTAGAAACGTGCACTTTCTCTTTTCTTTCTTTCCCATTTTAGCAGACTTGGCCACAGCAACGCGTGGCGGGTACAGTTAGTGTGTGTGAATATATATATATATATATGTGTATATATATATATATATATATATATATATATATATATATATATATATATATATATATATATATATATATATATATATATATATATATATATTAGTATATTTTGGTAGAAGTCTTTCCTGTAGACATATATTATTAGATATGACCGAAAAAGTAAGATTAATAATTCTAACACGAATTTTCTCAATGTTTCTTATATTTCTTTTCACTGTTGATGGTAACTGAAAAATCAATTCTCCAAAATTCATTTTTATTTCTAGTCTGACGCGACACTTGAACGCGTTTCGTAATAACTTATTACATTTTCAAAGACTTTAGTTACACACACACAACTATAACCTGCAAACACTAAACAGATTTCTTACTATGCTATAATTCAAACGATTTTTCATTTTATATACCTGCATTTGGGTCATGGAAAGGAGCGGAGGTTTCCACACTGCAGTCTACACTAAGGAAACAAACATAGGAATGTGCCTCAATGCCAACATAAGCGTTAACGACACTCCTCTTGTACCTGTCTGGGCAGTCACTGTTGGCATTGAGGCACATTCCTATGTTTGTTTCCTTAGTGTAGACTGCAGTGTGGAAACCTCCGCTCCTTTCCATGACTGTTACATCTAGAAAGGGCAGCTTCCCATCCTTCTCCATCTCGTAAGTGAAACGCAACACAGAATTCCGCTCAAATGCCTCCTTCAGCTCCTGCAGATGTCTGACACCAGGTACCTGTGTAAAAATGTCGTCAACATACCTGCAGTATGTGGCTGGTTTCAAGTTCATGTCGACTAAGACTTTTTGTTCGATGGTACCCATGTAGAAGTTCGCAAACAGGACACCTAGGGGAGAACCCATGGCGACCCCATCTACTTGCTTATACATGTGCCCATCCGGGCTCAAGAAGGGTGCCTCTTTAGTACAAGCTTGGAGTAGTTTCCTTAGAATGTTTTTTGGTATGTCAAGAGGAGTACAGGCTGGATCACGATACACTCTGTCCGCTATCATGCTGATTGTTTCATCCACAGGTACGTAGGTAAACAGTGACTCTACGTCCAATGAGGCTCTTATCCCTGTGGCCCGTGTTCCCCGCAGTAATTCAACAAATTCCTTTGGAGACTTCAGGCTGAAGGCGCAAGGGACACAAGGAGTTAGCAAGCCGTTGAGTCGCTTCGCCAGTCTGTACGTAGGTGTGGGTATCTGGCTGATGATTGGCCGAAGTGGGGAATTCTGTGTTGCGTTTCACTTACGAGATGGAGATGGATGGGACGCTGCCCTTTCTAGATGTAACAGTCATGGAAAGGAGCAGAGGTTTCCACACTGCAGTCTACACTAAGGAAAAAAAACATAATGCCTCAATGCCAACAGTGACTGCCCAGACAGGTACAAGAGGAGTGTTGTTAACGCATATGTCGACCGTGCCCTCAGCCACAGCTCAGAATGGAAGCAAGTCGAAGAAGAACTCTGTAGGGTAAGGCAGGTCCTAGTCAACAACGGCTTCGCCAATGGTTTCGTGGAAGACATCATAAGAAGGAAAGTGAAACGCCATGCAACCTCTGAAGAGACAACTAACACTATACCCCCTATTAGACTATTTTACAGGAACTTCTTTTCCACAGCCCATAAAACGGAGGAAAGGGTCCTGAAAAATATTGTCAGTAGAAACGTTATCCCTACAGACAAAAATCAGAAGATACAACTGACGATTTACTATAAAACCAGAAAAACGGCCAGCCTACTCATGAGAAACTCTCCACACACAAAGCAGAACGTTTTAAAAGAGACCAACGTCGTCTATGCCTTCAAATGCCCTCTTGGGGACTGTAAGCCTCAAAAAACCCAGTATATAGGCAAGTCAACAACATCTCTTTCCAGGCGTTTAACGATGCATAAGCAACAGGGCTCCATTAAGGAACATATAATCTCTTCCCACAAACAAACCATCACCAGAGAAATCTTAGCAAACAACACAAAAATCATCGATAGATACAGCGATAGCAGGCGGCGTGACGCCTGCGAGGCACTACACATCAAGAAGTCAACACCAGCAATCAACAGCCAATTAATGCACAACTATATTCTACCCACTTCAAGACTCCGCTCCATATATATATATATATATATATATATATATATATATATATATATATATATATATATATATATATATATATATATATATATATATATATATATGCGAACAAGCCTGAATGGTCCCCAGGACAATATGCAACTGAAAACTCACACCCCAGAAGTGACTCGAACCCATACTCCCAGAAGCAACGCAACTGGTATGTACAAGACGCCTTAATCCACTTGACCATCACGACCGGACATAATGAGGTGATAGCCGAGGCTATTTGAACCACCCCACCGCCGGCACTCGGATAGTAATCTTGGGCATAGCATTTTACCAAATCACCTCATTCTTTGGGGCACACGTGAGGAACACAAATGCGAACAAGCCTGAATGGTCCCCAGGACAATATGCAACTGAAAACTCACACCCCAGAAGTGACTCGAACCCATACTCCCAGAAGCAACGCAACTGGTATGTACAAGACGCCTTAATCCACTTGACCATCACGACCGGACATAATGAGGTGATAGCCGAGGCTATTTGAACCACCCCACCGCCGGCACTCGGATAGTAATCTTGGGCATAGCATTTTACCAAATCACCTCATTCTTTGGGGCACACGTGAGGAACACAAATGCGAACAAGCCTGAATGGTCCCCAGGACAATATGCAACTGAAAACTCACACCCCAGAAGTGACTCGAACCCATACTCCCAGAAGCAACGCAACTGGTATGTACAAGACGCCTTAATCCACTTGACCATCACGACCGGACATAATGAGGTGATAGCCGAGGCTATTTGAACCACCCCACCGCCGGCACTCGGATAGTAATCTTGGGCATAGCATTTTACCAAATCACCTCATTCTTTGGGGCACACGTGAGGAACACAAATGCGAACAAGCCTGAATGGTCCCCAGGACAATATGCAACTGAAAACTCACACCCCAGAAGTGACTCGAACCCATACTCCCAGAAGCAACGCAACTGGTATGTACAAGACGCCTTAATCCACTTGACCATAACGACCGGACATAATGAGGTGATAGCCGAGGCTATTTGAACCACCCCAACGCCGTGGGGTGGTTCAGTTGCATATTGTCCTGGGGACCATTCAGGCTTGTTCGCATTTGTGTTCCTCACGTGTGCCCCAAAGAATGAGGTGATTTGGTAAAATGCTATGCCCAAGATTACTATCCGAGTGCCGGCGGTGGGGTGGTTCAAATAGCCTCGGCTATCACCTCATTATGTCCGGTCGTGATGGTCAAGTGGATTAAGGCGTCTTGTACATACCAGTTGCGTTGCTTCTGGGAGTATGGGTTCGAGTCACTTCTGGGGTGTGAGTTTTCAGTTGCATATTGTCCTGGGGACCATTCAATATAATATATATATATATATATATATATATATAGTATATATATATATATATATATATATATATATATATTTTTATATATATATATATATATATATATATATATACATATATATACTAACTTTTAGGTAAATTTCATTCTGCCTATTGAATTCATGGTGTTACCAATTTAAAATTACAATGAAAATTAACATTTCGTAAATTCAATGTTACTAATTAAGCTACAGTCCTGCCATTCAGTTACCATATGCTTCTCTTGCCCCTCTACTTCACAGGAACACCGTCGACTGAGACTGGGGAATCCACTACTTCACAGTCGACTGATACTGTGGACTCCACGACAACACAGTCGACTGAGACTGTGGAATCCACTACAACACAGTCGACTGAAACTGTGGACTCCACGACAACACAGTCGACTGATACTGTGGAATCCACGACATCACAGTCGACGGATACTGTGGAATCCGCGACAACACAGTCGACTGAGACTGTGGAATCCACGACAACACAGTCGACTGAGACTGTGGAATCCACGACAACACAGTCGACTGAGACTGTGGAATCCACGACAACACAGTCGACTGAGACTGTGGAATCCACGACAACACAGTCGACTGATACTATGAACTCTACGACAACACATTCGACTGAGACTATGGAATCCACGACAGCACAGTCGACTGATACTTTGGAATCCATGACAACACAGTCGACTGATACTGTAGAATCCTCGATAACACAGTCGACTGATACTGTAGAATCCACGTCAACACAATCGACTGATACTGTGGAATCCACGACAACACAGTCGACTGATAATGTGGAATCCTCGACAACACAGTCGACTGATACTGTAGAATCCACGTCAACACAGTCGACTGATACTGTAGAATCCTCGACAACACAGTCGACTGATACTGTAGAATCCACGACAACACAGTCGACTGATACTGTAGAATCCACGACAATACAGTCGACTGATACTGTGGAATCCACGACAACACAGTCGACTGATAATGTGGAATCCACGACAACACAGTCGACTGATACTGTGGAATCCACGACAACACAGTCGACTGATACCGAAGAATCCACATCAACACAGTCGACTGATGCTGTAGAATCCACGACAACACAGTCGACTGATAATGTGGAATCCACGACAACAGAGTCGACTGATACTGTAGAATCGACGACAACACAGTCGACTGATACTGAAGAATCCACATCAACACAGTCGACTGATACTGTAGAATCCACGACAACACAGTCGACTGATACTGTAGAATCCACGACAATACAGTCGACTGATACTGTGGAATCCACGACAACACAGTCGACTGATACTGTGGACTCCACGACAACACAGTCGACTGATACTGTGGGATCCACGACAACACAGTCGACTGAGACTGTGGAATCCACGACAACACAGTCGACTGAAACTGTGGACTCCACGACAACACAGTCGACTGATACTGTGGAATCCACGACTTCACAGTCGACGGATACTGTGGAATCCACGACAACACAGTCGACTGAGACTGTGGAATCCACGACAACACAGTCGACTGATAATGTGGAATCCACGACAACACAGTCGACTGATACTGTAGAATCCACGACAACACAGTCGACTGATACCGAAGAATCCACATCAACACAGTCGACTGATGCTGTAGAATCCACGACAACACAGTCGACTGATAATGTGGAATCCACGACAACACAGTCGACTGATACTGTAGAATCGACGACAACACAGTCGACTGATACTGAAGAATCCACATCAACACAGTCGACTGATACTGTAGAATCCACGACAACACAGTCGACTGATACTGTAGAATCCACGACAATACAGTCGACTGATACTGTGGAATCCACGACAACACAGTCGAATGATAATGTGGGATCCACAACAACACAGTCGACTGATACTGTAGAATCCACGACAACACAGTCGACTGATAGTGTGGGATGCACGACAACACAGTCGACTGATACTGTGGAATCCACGACAACACAATCGACTGATAGTGTGGGATCCACGACAACACAGTCGACTGATACTGAAGAATCCACATCAACACAGTCGACTGATGCTGTAGAATCCACGACAACACAGTCGACTGATACTGTGCGATCCACGACAACACAGTCGACTGATACTGTGGACTCCACGACAACACAGTCGACTGATACTGTGGGATCCACGACAACACAGTCGACTGATACTATGAACTCCACGACAACACAGTCGACTGATACTGTGGAATCCACGACAACACAGTCGACTGATACTGTGGAATCCACGACAACACAGTCGACTGATACTGTGGACTCCACGACAACACAGTCGACTGATACTGTGGGATCCACGACAACACAGTCGACTGATACTGTGAACTCCACGACAACACAGTCGACTGATACTGTGGACTCTACGACAAAGCAGTGGACACAACATTCAACAGAGCGGAAAGAGGACGAGTTAAAAGGTGAGTGTTATTGGACCTCCTGATTAACTGTGGCTGGTGTTTATTTGTCCACAGGGCACGTTACAATTAAGGGTCCCGGTAGAATAGACGGGTTCGTCCTCGACGCACAATCTAGAATTCCGGATTCGAATCCCGAGTGGGACAGAAGTGGTTGGGCACATTTCCTTGCAACTAATATAATTGTTCTAGGAGTAAGTAGGTACTCAGGAGTTAGTCAGCTTGTTGTGGGGTTGCAACCTGGGCGGGTCAGTAATTCGACCCTGAGGGAAGGGGGGTCTTCGATATAAGCCTAACGTGTATTAATACACTCTGGCTTCCTGTCCCCCTACACAGTGAATTATAAATATAACCAGGTTTCTTTGAGTAAAGAGAAGAATGAGTTTCTAGACTTAAAAAAGTAGATTCAAGAGTTAAAAATGCCATTATGACTGCTAAATATGGTGCATATTTTAGCCATCACAGCCTCATGAAGGTATAACAACGAATTTGTGATGAGTCTTTCTTATTATAGAAATGTTTCACCGTCGCTCTTTCTCTCTTGTGTGCTGCTTGGACAAGGTGAGTGGCTCTTCCGCCCAGCAACACACACACACACACACACACACACACACACACACACACCAGACCTAACCTAACCTATCTTAACCTAACCTAAACTAACACAATTAACTCAATAATTTATGTTCCTAATATAATATAATAATAATAATTCTAATAAACTAATTGGAAACAATTTATTGCAAATAAAGAAAATCACTCGGCCTATTAGGCAACTCGGGCCTTGCATAGAAGGCCGAGACATGCGTTCTGGCTACTAGGTACGACATATGTTTATATATATATATATATATATATATATATATATATATATATATATATATATATGTCGTACCTAGTAGCCAGAACTCACTTCTCAGGCTACTATGCGAGGCCCGATTTGCCTAATAAGCCAAGTTTTACTGAATTAATATATTTTCTCTAATTTTTTTCTTATGAAATGATAAAGCTACCTATTTCATTATGTATGAGGTCAATTTTTTTTTATTGGACTTAAAATTAACGTAGATATATGACCGAACCTAACCAACCCTACCTAACCTAACCTAACCTATCTTTATAGGTTAGGTTAGGTTAGGTAGCCGAAAACGTTAGGTTAGGTTAGGTTAGGTAGGTTAGGTTGTCGAAAAAACATTAATTCATGAAAACTAGGCTTATTAGGCAAATCGGGCCTTGCATAGTAGGCTGAAAAGTGAGTTCTGGCTACTAGGTACGACATATATATATATATATATATATATATGTCGTACCTAATAGCCAGAACGCACTTCTCAGCCTACTATTCAAGGCCCGATTTGCCTTATAAGCCAAGTTTTCATGAATTAATGTTTTTTCGTCTACCTAACCTACCTAACCTAACCTAACCTAGCTTTTTTTGGCTACCTAACCTAACCTTACCTATAAATATAGGTTAGGTTAGGTTAGGTAGGGTTGGTTAGGTTCGGTCATATATCTACGTTAATTTTAACTCCAATAAAAAAAAATTGACCTCATACATAGAGAAAAGGGTTGCTTTATCATTTCATAAGAAAAAATTTATAGTAAATATATTAATTCAGGAAAACTTGGCTTATTAGGCAAATCGGGCCTTGAATAGTAGGCTGAGAAGTGAGTTCTGGCTACTAGGTACGACATATATATATATATATATATATATATATATATATATATATATATATATATATATATATATATATATATATATATATAAATTGTCCTGGACGTTTTGTGAGTTACGACCTAAGCAGCCAGATCTTCCTGGTGGTGACTCTCCACATTGTAAGTTGTATGACTAATATGACGTTGGTTACATATAGTGTGCACTGATATATGAATATATTTGGATATACTTTTCCTATAAATCATACATACGTGATATATTGAAAATTATTTGACAAAATGACTAAAATTCAATATTTTATGTGAATATAAATAATTAATATATGGAAATAAAATATATATAATGGCTTATAGTTACCTAAATCTTAATATACAAAACACACATAACCTGGTGACAAACACACACACACACACACACAACCTGGTAACACATCTGGAGAGAAGGGACTTCGTGACAAATCGACAACATGGGTTCAGGGAGGGTAAATCTTGCCTGACGGGTTAAATAGAATTCTACGACCAGGTGACAAAGATTAAACAAGAAAGAGAGGGCTGGGCGGACTGCATTTTCTTGGATTGTCGGAAAGCCTTTGACACAGTACCGCATAAGAGGTTGGTACATAAGTTGGAGAGACAGGCAGGTGTAGCTGGTAAGGTGCTCCAGTGGATAAGGGAGTGCCTAAGCAATAGGAAGCAGAGAGTTACGGTGAGGGGTGAGACCTCCGATTGGCATGAAGTCACCAGTGGAGTCCCACAGGGCTCTGTACTCGGTCCTATCTTGTTTCTGATATATGTAAATGATCTCCCGGAGGGTATCGATTCATTTCTCTCAATGTTTGCGGACGATGCCAAAATTATGAGAAGGATTAAAACAGAAATGGACTGTTTGAGGCTTCAAGAAGACCTAGACAAGCTGAAGGAATGGTCGAACAAATGGTTGTTAGAGTTTAACCCAACCAAATGTAATGTAATGAAGATAGGTGTAGGGAGCAGGAGGCCAGATACAAGGTATCATCTGGGAGAGGAAATCCTTCAGGAGTCAGAGAAAGAAAAAGACTTAGGGGTTGATATCACGCCAGACCTGTCTCCTGCAGCACATATCAAGAGGATAACATCAGCGGCATATGCCAGGCTGGCCAACATACGAACGGCATTCAGAAACTTTCGTAAAGAATAATTCAGAACTTTGTATACCACATATGTCAGGCCAATCCTGGAGTATGCAGCCCCAGCATGGAGTCCATATCTCGTCAAGGATAAGACTAAACTGGAAGAGGTTCAAAGGTTTGCCACCAGACTAGTACCCGAGCTGAGAGGTATGAGCTACGAGGAGAGACTACGGGAATTAAACCTCACTTCGTTGGAAGACAGAAGAGTTAGGGAGGACGTAATCACCACATTCAAGATTCTCAAGGGAATTGATAGGGTAGATAAAGACAGGCTATTTAACACAAGGGGAACACGCACAAGGGGACACAGGTGGAAACTGAGTGCCCAAATGAGCCACAGAGATATTAGAAAGAACTTTTTTAGTGTCAGAGTGGTTGACAAATGGAATGCATTAGGAAGTGATGTGGTGGAGGCTGACTCCATACACAGTTTCAAGTGTAGATATGATAGAGCCCAATAGGCTCAGGAATCTGTACACCTGTTGATTGGCGGTTGAGAGGCGGGACCAAGGAGCCAGAGTTCAACTCCCGCAAACACAACTAGGTGAGTACACACACACACACACACACACACACACACACACACACACACACACACACACACACACACACACACACACACACACACACACACAGTAGCTGAGCGGACAGCGCGCTGGACTCGTAATTCTGTGGCCCGGGTTCGACTCCCGAACCAGGCAGAAATAAATGGACAATGTATCTTTCACCCCTGATACCCCTGTTACCTAGCAGTAAATAGGTACCTGGGAGTTAGACAGCTGTTACGGAGCTGCTTCTTGGGAATGTGTGTGTGGGGAAAAAAAATAGCTAGTTACAGTTGATTGACAGTTGAGAGGCGGTCCGAAAAAGCAGAGCTCAACCCCCGCAAGAACAAATATAGGTGAAATATAGGGGAATACACCCTCACACACACACACACACGCACACACCAAGAACTCAAACCCCGCAAACTAGATGAGTAAACACACACACACACACACACACACACACACACACACACACACACACACACACACACACACACACACACACACACACACACACACACACACACACACACACACACACACACACACACACACACACACACAGTTTTCTTTTAGCGTGAGAGTAGTAGAAGTAGTAGAAGTAGTAGAAGTTTTCTTTTAGCGTGAGAGTAGTAGAAAAATGGAATGCACTTGGGGAACAGGTTGTGGAAGCAAATACTATTCATACTTTTAAAACTAGGTATGATAGGGAAATGGGACAGGAGTCATTGCTGTAAACAACCGATAGCTAGAAAGGCGGGATCCAAGAGTCAATGCTCGATCCTGCAAGCACATATAGGTGAGTACATATAGGTGAGTACACACACACACACACTGCGAGGCTGGCTAACATCAGAACAGCGTTCAGGAACCTGTGTAAGGAATCATTCAGAATCTTGTACACCACATATGTAAGACCAATCCTGGAGTATGCGGCCCCAGCATGAAGCCCGTACCTTCTCAAGCACAAGACGAAGCTGGAAAAAGTACAAAGGTATGCCACTAGACTAGTCCCAGAACTAAGAGGCATGAGTTACGAGGAAAGGCTGCGGGAAATGCACCTTACGACACTGGAAGACAGAAGAGTAAGGGGAGACATGATCACAACCTACAAAATCCTCAGAGGAATCGACCGGGTAAACAAGGATAAACTATTCAACACTGGTGGGACGCGAACAAGGGGACACAGGTGGAAACTGAGTACTCACATGAGCCACAGAGACGTTAGAAGGAACTTTTTCAGTGTTAGAGTAGTTAACGGATGGAATGCATTAGGCAGTGATGTGGTGGAGGCTGACTCCATACACAGTTTTAAATGTAGATGTGATAGAGCCCAGTAGGCTCAGGAATCTGTACACCAGTTGATTGACAGTTGAGAGGCGGGACCAAAGAGCCAAAGCTCAACCCCAACAAGCACAAATAGGTGAGTACAAATAGGTGAGTACACACACACACACACACACACACACACACACACACACACACACACACACACACACACACACACACACACACACACACACACACACACACACACACACACACACACATACAGCCAGAGCTCAAACCCCGCAAACTAGATGAGTAAAGACACACACACACACAC